CAGCCTTTAGTCTGTTGGGATTTGTCTCTGTCTCTACTAACGTTGCACATCTAGACTTTGCAATATTTGCCCACTCTTCTTTGCAGAACTGCTCAAGTTTAGTTAAATTTGACTAGGCCATGCAAGGACATTCACCTTCTCCTTCACTCACTGTGTGCTCAGTTTTGCTGTGTGCTTTGGCTCATTGCCATGTTGGAAGGTAAACTTTCTTCCCACTGACAACTTTGTGGCAGAGGGCAGCAGATTTTACTCAAGAATTATTTCCATTTTTCCTTCTGTCCTGACAAGTGCTTCTGTCCCTGCTGCAGAGAAACAATAACAGGATATGACCACCTCCATGCTTTACTGGAGGAATGCTGTTATTTGGATGGTGAGCTGGATTGGATTTATTGCTTGGTGTTGAGGCCAAATAATTCAATATTAAGGTGCTTTCACACCTGGCCTGTTGTTTTGGGAACCTGCCGCGTTTCCCCCCTTAGCTCGGTTCATTTGGGCATATGTGAACACGGCAATCGCGCTCGGATCCGCGCCAAAACAATCGGTCCGAGATCGCCTGAACGAGGTGGTCTCGGCTCGACTGAAAACGAACTCTGGAGCGGTTCGGTTGTAGTGAGAAAGCAATCCGATCTAACGGACCAATGAACCAGGCTATATCACAGTGTATGATGGGTAATTACGTAAGTTCCGTGAAAAGCATTAGCTTTGTTGTTTTTCTAATACTTCAAAATGAACCAGTGAATGTCTGTGGGTGAGCACGTCTTCGCCAGGGTCTGTATTGTACCAAATACCTTCCACTTCTTAATAATAGACTTCACTGTGCTTCTAGGCCTTTGAATTTTTTTTTATCCATCTCCTGACTTGTGCCAGTCCACAACTTTAACCCAGAGATCTTTTGACAGATTCTTGCCACCCATAGAAGAAAACCAAAGATAATTTAATGCTATAAGCCATGACATGTAAAAATTTGTAACATTTATTAATATTAAGGGTTTTTTTCCCCCAAATAATTCAGCCTGTTTGTATAACTGTAGGTGGTTTAAGGTTAAATAAAATAAAAATCATATTACAAATATAAAATAAAAGTGATTTGACAGCCTACTAAATGTAGCAACCGTTTATCATCAATCACAGCCTTGGTAAACGTTTATCAACCTGTCATGTCAAAAATGAGTGAAAAACGACAATGACCTAATGAATTCTTTCCTTATTCCCTTTCAGTTTCCTGCAGGCTCCTCCGGATCAGCGACCGCTTCTACCTCATCCTCCACATCGTCAGTCCGGCAGACCCGGCAGCGCGTCACCCGGGTCAACCTCAGGGACTTGATCTTCTGCTTGGAGCAGGAGCGAACCACAGCCAGGTCCATGCTGCTCTACAAGGCCCTTCTGAAGTAGCACTGGATGAGATCATCCACGCTAATGGTACTCCACCTGCTTGACTCTCAGTAATATGTTCAAGTCTTCCTCTCCTTCTCCGCATTCATCTCCGGTTTGTGCCTTCAGACTCACCTGTGGCATGAACTCTTTGTTCAGTATGAGCGCGTTGTTGTAAATCTTCTAAACGTAGGCATTCTGGAGATGAGAAGGTTCTGGAAAAGCCCAAAAGGCGGCGGCTGTGGACACCATGTGATTTTCCTCTCTGAGTCACCCTTTTATGGTTTTATTTCCCCTTTGTTTTGGATTAATGAGCCATCATTTTGAGCAATGTTGATCTTTTTATTCATTAACTTGAACTCGGACTGGTTTTACGTTTCAGGATAGAGATTGAGATTTGTTTTATATAAGTAGCGGATGGACTTGTTTTTAACTGAAAGCCTCATTTGCAATAGAGACACTGGAAATGTGAATGCAAAGTTCCTGGTTTTAGAGGTCTATCGAGTCGGGAGTATTTTTAGTAACTTATAAGTAGCGCATCTTCAAGTCTCTAAGGATGTTTTTTTTTTTTTTGTTACTGATTTCTGCAAAATGAAGAGAAACTGTGTTGTAAAACACTGACTGTCTTTCATCCTATTGGATGGTCTTTTGAAAATCAGTGATTGTTTTGTCTCGCACACTCAGTGTGGGGTTATAGGGGTGTACAGTTTCACTAGTGTCTGTGTTAAGTATACTGTGAAATGGTGCCTTACGTGGCCCTCCTGGGGCACCATTGTTTTTAATCAAATCCAAGGCATGGAATTATCTAATATGCTAATACTAATATGCATCGCTTCACCAACGATTCTAGAGCAGGATCTCTCGTAACTTATTTGTGGAGAAATGGCAGGTTGTATGTGCTGTTAATTTGACCATTTAAAAAAAAAAAAAACATTCAAAATGGGGTGGCTTTGATGGACTGCAGTAATTATTTTAAAATACTGACGCATTTTGTATCATGTACTTTTGTGTTTGAAATTCAAGTTCACTATAAATTTAGTATCTGTCATCGGGCATTATTTTATGTCTCAAATACCGAATATTTGTATACTGCCCTTTATGACATGCAGTAGGAGAGGACATGTTTGACATTTACATTTTGGCGTTGTACAGATGTATGTTGGGAGACGGTCAGCGGTCATGTCGTGTGCAATGATTCCTTTGAGATCTGAGGCAAATCTTTTTCCATCTCTCAGATTGGTTTTAATTCGTATTGTTTGTACTGGCATTTGGACAAACAGTATTGTTGATCAAGGGATTGTCTTTTGTCTAAAAAAAAACATATCTATTAGAATTTATATTTTTGCTAAATTTAACAATTTTTGAATGTTTGGTTGGTTTGGAAAAAAGTGCTCATCTCTATTAAATTTGTACTTTTGTAAAAGAATAAAGTTCCTAATTATAATTCTTCCAAGACTTTCTTTGATGTTGTTTTACCCTAATATGTCAAACATGGAATCAAAATTGTTAACTTAAATGAACTTTCATACTGTGAAAAAACCTTAATCTTTCATCAAAATGCTTTTTTTTTTTGGCTGATGTCAATTAGGCCACACAGGCTGTTGGTAACGTTAATCATAATACATCCTATAATTTTGCCTATAGTTAATGTGGTAATATAATGTTAACATAACCAGCAGGTAAAGGATCAAATAAATGTGCCCTGATTCCTGGGGCCTTTTTTTTTTTTCACAGTTGACTGAAAACTCATTCAGGTGAAACTCTATTCTGGTATTTACTGCCCACATTTCATGATTCAATTTCTGATTAAAAACGTCAAGTCCTGTCCTACTTTTTCTTTTCTTTTTCTTACATTTTTTTTTTGTTGTTCAATATTGTTTTGTTCAGAAAATTAACCGTCATTGATCTATTGTGAACTATTCATCCATGTGTTTCATGTTCAAAATGACATTTTAATCAAAATGTCAATCTTATGTTGAAATGGCATGCGGCTTTCTGCTGACATGTGCCATACTTCTCCAATCATTGTCTACTGAAACTCTGCCCCTTTCTCACAATAGACTGCAAGTTTACATTTAGATCCGCCTTCATCCAATCAACGACCAACTGATAAAACCATTTTTTTTCTATTCCGATATTCCATTTCACACATGCTGGTTACTTTAAATATGTTCTCTGTCATTTGTATCAAGTTTTTCCGACACATTCGCATGCAGCCAGTGGTTTAAAATAGGGAAAGAACGCCAACAATTTATTAAAAGTTTGTTTATCAACACCGATTACAAAAAGAATGTGACAATTCAAATAAACACATGCCTGACATACCACTATAATTCATATCAATAATCCATTACAAAAAAATGTTTTATTTAAATAATATACATTTGGACCATACTGCAATATACATCTTGACACAACATCCATTAAAGCAGTATTTAAATTAAGATTTATGTAATGTTCGACATGGCTTCTCCGATAATCATCTTTTTAATGTTCTTGTCCTTGAAACCGAAAACCGAACGGCAGTTGCAGAGCAGCGAGATGACGAGTTGCATTCAGGGGGACCTGCTAAGCGTCCATGAGCCTTCATGTACAATGTACAACAAATCAAGGAATTCTGAATACGTAGCATAAAAGAAATGCTGGCCAGTTAAGACAACACTTAGCATAACAACCTTCCTTTTGAAATAGCTAGGCAAATAACTTGGAAATAATAATGTGCGTTTTTACAACACATTATGCAATTCAGTCGGTTTACCAGCCACCAAGTTAACCTTTCAAGTTTATTCTCCCTCAGTCTTTCTCCGAGTGGCTCTGTTTGCGATGTTTTGCTAAGGGAGAGTGAGTAAAAGGGATTGTGGGAAAGTGACCTTAACTCCTGGAGAAGAAGTCTGACCCGTAGCCCCTCCGTCTCCAGGCCTTAAGGGGCACAGTAATTCCCCTCTTCTACAGCGGTCCGAGCAGCGGCCCCTGACTGCTGCATTCATTAACAATCTGACTCATTTTTTCCAAAGGTGCCTTCATCAAACAAGATGTTATTTTGGACCCACAAGGCATCGAATCTACAAAAGATCTTTACTTTTTAACCGTTTACTCAAAGCAATTATGTATAATAAACGTTCCGAAGCGACTCGTTTTGAAGAAAACGGGCACCGGAAAGAAAGTGGAGGATTTAGCAATGCCATCTGAAAAGCTCTCCCACATGAGTCCAGGTTTCCCTTTAGACATGCTCAAACAAAAATCCTCTCTGCCCAGCACTGAATGCATTACCAGACCGTCTGCTTTAGCCGCCATGTAGCCTCAAGTCAAAGCGTCAGTGCGGCCAACTCCAGACCGCACTTACAACCAAATGACTTCTGAGAACTGCTCTCGTATCCTTCATGTAGCGAGACAACAGCAATAAACCTGTAGGTCATAAAAGAACTGATTTACATAGATGAGACTGGAAAATGAGAACATTAGATATCTAGATTAAAAATGGATCAGAGGACAGACTTTGTATTTTGTGGTTAATTTCGCCCGGGAGCTTGGAGATCAGACTGCTGCATCATTTAGAAGCGTTCTAGCCGGAAGGTGCTCTCGCCATGAACGCAACTTCCTTGTAGAGTCCCTCTTTTTTCGCTCTTCTACGCACATACAATGGCGACTTTATGATATGGATCTGTACTGTGGAAATATAGATCAGTGAATGCATTTTTCATGACTCGAGCCAAAGAAATGGCTAAAAAGTTCAACTGAAAGTTCAGCTGAAAAGCCATCCTGTGAATCGTTTGGGTTTGTAAAGCATCTTTTGGGGCAGATTTGGGGTCGGTGATGAAATTACTCATACATTTACTAAGATTTCAGTCCTCTTGGAGTCTGAAGAGTTGAAGCAAACTCTTCTTGCAAATTAAGTCTTCTATTTGTCTACTGGCATTATTTTTTCTTTTGACAGCAGACTGAGGTGTTTGTGGTTGGTGCAAGAGCCGGCTAGTCCAGAGGCTCCTGTTTTATCCTGATGGGTGTGTGGCTGGTCTGACACCGTCTGTCTTCCCGACTCAAGATGTATTCGCTGAACTGGGAGGAGTCCACACCCCCGCCGCACGATGCCACCATGCTGAAGCCTTTTTGGAACAGTCTCTCCAGAACCTAGGAGAAACCAGGGACATTTTTAGTATATTGTTGTAATATAAGAAACTCAGTACTTCGTATAGTTGAATTAGTACACCAACAATCTCTCGAGAACCTATGAGAAACCAGGGCCATTTTTTAGTATTTTGAGAACTTTTCCACACAATATGAGAACCTCAGTATCAGTACTACACCTAATTCTGACAAGACATCACCATACCGAACCCTTTTGAAACAGTCCCTACAGGACCAAGGAGAAACCAGGGACAATGAGTTTTTAAATTTATGCTGCTCTATAAGCAATTCATATAGTTGCATCGACAGATAGAATGCTGAACCCTTTAAGAAAAAGTCTCTCCAGGACCTAAATGAGACCAGGGGATTTTTCTAATATTTTGAGATGAAGCTTTCCATAAAATAAATGAACTAAACTCCTATTTATGGATCTATATTAGCACTTCACATAAATAAATCAAGACGGCTCCAGACTGAAACCATTTGCAACAGTCTCTCCAGGACCTAGATGAAACCAGGGGAGTTTTTTAGTACTTTGAGATGAAGCTTTCCATAAAATAAACTCCTGTCTGTGCTACTCGTGTCAGCACTTCAAATAAGTTTGCATAATTGCATCAAGACGACACCTTTTGCAACAGTCTCTCTAGGACCTAAGAGAAACCAGGGGACATTTTTTCTCAGCATTTCAGCTCAAGTTCTCCATTGAATATGAGAAATTCAGTATGATTTTTGCCACTCTGTCAGAGCTTCATAGTTGCATCAAGACAAATTCCATGTTGAAACTGTCGCTCCAGGACAAACCAGGGGCATTTTTATTATTTAGAGAAGTTCTGTTAAAGGTGCAGTAAGCGATTTCTGAGAAATGCTGTTGATATTTGAAATCACCAAAACAAACACACCCCTGCCCAAAAGAATCACACCCCTATCTTGCCTCCGCCCCCAAATTTCTGAACATGCTATTCAACACAGGCACCTCCCCCATCACTACTGGACACACCCCTTACTGGTGATTGGCTACAAGTGTGTTTTGGTGCTCGGTCTGATCCACTTTCAACTGCGTTTCTCAGAAATCGCTTACTGCACCTTTAAATCTGAGAAACTTTGGAGTTTTTGGAATAAATTATTTATGCTACTCTTTACATAATTGCATCAAGATGGCAACCCTTTCTGGCACCATTTCTCCAGGACCTAAGAGAAACCAGGGGAGTTTTTCTTTTAGAGATTTTAAGATGAAATTTCCATAAAATAAACTCCCATTTATGCTGCTCCATCAGCACTTCTGATAATTACATTAAGACGACAGTCTCTCTGTGACCTAAAAGAAACCAGGGGAATTTTTGTCTATTTTGAGTTCTCTGTTGAATATGAGAAACTCAGTATGAGTTTTTTGGAAGTAAACTCCTATTTATGCCACTCTATCAGCACTTCACATAGTTGCATCAAGACGCATTTAAAATGTGCAATCTCAGTAACAGTGCTATCAACAACTTCACGCTTGCATTACCCTCAGACGTTTCTCACTCCAGACCATCCACCCGGGATGAGAAGGAGCGAGACATCCCCTGGGCTGTTTACAGGGGTTTGATGCGGAGTCAAATGAGAATAGGCTCCCCCACTGACAGCCCACACTGAAGCTGCCCGGCGCTTTCATTACAAACCCAATGCACACAATCTCTGCTACTGTCAGAGATCCCTCACAGAGAGCCGTCTCTGGGCGACCGCTGTCGCTGTCATTCCCACCGCCGCAAAAAGCCAACGAAATGTTTTATCTGTTGGAGTGCTTGTAGATTTTTTTGAAATTCAATACATGCAGCCTTGAGTATTCACTTACTCCTGCACTTCTTTCAAGTGTGCTTCACATGAAAATGAAAGTTCTGGCTCGGGGCTACAGAGCCAGATAAAAGTCCCTCTGCAAAAAAAAAAAAATAGACGAGGGAATCAGTTGAACTGCACAGGGCCTGAGAAAAAATGTCCACCCTTATCCTCACTTTGGAAGTTGAGGCTGCGGAGAAACTTGTAGAGGAAATGAACACTTCTTACGACTTACGCACAGATGAGGTATGAAAGAAATCGGCAGATGATTCAAGGGCCTACCGTGCACAAAGAAAGATTGCTCTTTTCAAGAACATATATCGGCATTAAGTCTTGTGTAAGGTTTCTGTTGCATCAGTGTTACAGAAGCGAGTTTTAATACACAAATTGTTTCAAACTTTTTCCATTGGATTTCGAAAATTTGTCTTAAAGAGATAGTCCACCAAAAAATGTTTTAAAAAAAGTTTATAATTTACCCCCCTCATGAAGAAAAGATGATTTTGGAAAATGCCTCCATGAATGCTGACCATTTAATGAGTTCAATGTTGTTTTGGACCCCATTGACTTTCATTGTATGGTCAAAAACTGTATTCAAAATATATTCTATTCCAGAGTGAAATCTGGGTGAAATATACCTTTAATTTGTATTTAATCCATTCCTTTCATAAAATACATCCATATCTAGAGTTCTTACTAAAGACAGAATGAACATATATAGACTCTAGCTAGATATGTTCATTCTGTCTTTAGTAAGACAGAAGCTTTTATACTTGAGAGGCTTGTGACACTCTATATTATAGTGTCACAAGCCTCTCAAGTATTCAGGCATTGATATCTGAAGGCTTATGATTTTGACATTACACTCACTGCGCTGATGGTTGCATCACTTACTAACTTTCTTACAGTAAAAGGCTACAATTTCTTGGCAACAAACTGGCTCCCTCACTCTGTCTTTTTCCATATCTCTCATCCTCTTGTCAGTCCTCTCTGATCTATCTTCTCATATTTCATACGTGGGTTTTCGTGAACACCCGAGATGTGTGACAAAGACTCACTTCAAAAAATCCACCCGCATGATTCAGTCAGTTAAGTGCGCAAAAGTGGGGGAAAAATAAGTGTTATCAGACACACTAATTAGTTATACAGTAAGTCAATTAGGCGTGTGTAAAAAAGTAGCGTAAACCAGTTTAGGTTGTTCAAAGAAACCAAAGTACAGTATTAAAAATGTAGCATGTGTGTTTAAAATGCTTCAGGCACAGAAATGTTGGAGCACTTTTTCAAACAGAGAGATTTGTCTTAAGGACGAGTTAAAAATAAATTATGCATATCATTTCCCTCTCTTCTCTTCTCGGTTTCATGACTACATATTCCCCACATTAGCATCGCCTCCAGGATTCAAGGTACCGGACATTATAAAACGTATGTATGTGGATGTGTCTGTGTGTACGCCAGGATGTGTGTCTATTTTAGCACCTTTCAAACAGCCAAATCGTGAAGTATGTGAGAAGATGACATGGGGCATAACTGCACCTCTGCAGCTGTGAAGCCACACCTTCATCCACACCTGCCTACTACATCTTGCACCCTCTCACATCTCTTCTGGTTGGCAGGCAGCAGTCGAGCTCCCTCCGAGACACATCAGCACAGCCAAAGTCCAAGTCAAAATTGTAAACTTGAGCAAATGCTTTATAATAGGCTCATTGATATGGCAAAAGTGATTGACAGTCTTAATTAATTTAAAATGATGTAATGTCAATATTTAAATGTTTAATTAAATTAAAATTGTAAATTAATTTAGAGCTTTTTGACCATTTTTTGGGATTTAGATGTTGCAGTCCAGGTTCAAACCAGCATTTCCATTTCCAATTCGAGCATTGTGGTTCATTGTGCCTGGACTACACTTGTCAAATGTGATTAAAACTACACACAAATAGGTGAATCTCAAGAAAAAAACATGCCCAGGTCCACAATTTACTCCAAAAACAATAACAATATATATATATAAACATTTTCATTGTGACATTATTTTCATGACAATCACATTTTCCTCCCAAATCTTCATTACCATAATGTGTCTGGATATTTTACTTATACGCTTTATTGCAACATTACATTCTTGTAATTGTAATTTTGTAGTTTCCTCTGGATTCGCCCAAGTATGTACTATGGTTTAAAAGTTTGGGGTCATTAAGATTTTTTGTTTTTTTTATTTTTTATTTGAAAGAACTGATATATTTATTCAGCCAGGATCCATTAAATTAATTATGAGTAACAGTAAAGATATTTATTATATTATATCAAATAAATGCTGTTCTTTTGAACTTTCTACTTATCAAAGCTTCCTGAAAAAAAAAAATCAGTTTCCACAAAACTATGAAGCAGCTAGTTTTAAACATAGATGATAATAAGAAATGTTTCTGAAGGATTATGTGACACTAAATACTGGAATAATAACTGCTGAAAATTCAGCTTTGCCATCACAGGAATGTTACATTTTAAAATATAATGAAATAGAAAACAATTATTTTAAATTGTAATAATAGTTACTGTATTTTTGGTCAAATAAATGCAGCCACGATGAGCATAAAAGACTTCTTTCAAAAATATTTTTAAAATCTTTCCGACCCCCAACTTTTGAACGGTAGTGTATTAGTCAGTGATGATGACCATCAAATATTGTTTCAGTATTACTCAATGACTGCTGTACCTGCACAGAGTTGAGCCTGCAATAGCCATTCAGTGGAAAGCGAATAACGTGGGTTGGGTCCTGGTTCCAGCCGGCATTGACTGAATTGCACATGACATCCCCTGTCTCTGGGAAAATCTCCTCTATGAGGGCCTTGTCCCCACTGATGGCAATCCTCTCGCCCAGGTCAGGGGTCACCCGCACCACCAGGCACTCACAGGGCTGAGCCGCCCGCCGCTGCTCCCGGTCCTGTTTCCAGCGCTCCAGCTCTTTCACCATGGGCGTCAGCTGGTAATACCGAGCCTCCTCGTAAAGCAGCTGGAACTCCTGCAGGAACAACACATGGATGTGAATGTATGCACGGAAAGAAAAGAAGAAACAAACAACCCATCCAGCAAATGATTGAATGAGCAGACAAACAGACCCAACCATGGAGTATATGAATGAACAAGTAGACAAAGAAAATGCACAAATACATGAATGAATGAACAAATAAATCAACAACCCACTGAGCAAATGAACAAATAAGAAAACAAACAAATGTACAGACAAATTAATGAATGAACAAACTTGGAAAATTAACCAGCTATTGAGCGAATGAATGAACAAGCAGACCAAAAATTACTGAAACAAACAAATGACTGAAAAACAACCCACTGAGCGAATGAACGAACAAGGACACAAACAAACAACCAAGTGAGTGAACGAATGAGCAAACAAACCACCAAATAAATGAATGAATGAATGGGCAAACAAACAAACCACCAAGTGAGCAAACAAATGCACAAACAACCCATCAACCAAATGAATGACCGAGCGAACAAACAACCAAATGAAAGAATAGAAACAAACAAAAAATTGACTACTGAGTGATTACTGAGTTATTTTCCATTGCTGCTCCATCACTAAAGAGATTTTTAGATTTACATTTTCCACTAGGAAAGATATGATGGGCTAATAATATCAGAAAATGAAAGAAGAAATTCAACACCACATGATGATTGAATATTGTGTTTCAAAGCACACGTCGTTTAGCATTGAGCATGAACCCAGACCAACACATGGAGCAATTTTGCCCATCTGACCCATCTTTAGCCAGGACCAGGACAAGGGGTGGGTTTGTTAAGCCCCCCAGCTCTCCCCTCACTCACAGACTATCTGGTTGGACAGCACAGATTGCAGCCTCTGCCTGAGGCGTCCTTCACCCTACAGCACATTTACCCCACTTACACTCGCCTTTCATTCACCACTAAACCAGATGGCAACATGCCTCAGTCCCACCATTACAATCACTGCAAAAATGAAAATATTTCCATTTTTCCATGTAAACATGGTGGTATGGGCATATATTGAGGAAAATGAATGATAAACCAAAGTTAGTGGTGTTACCACTTGTGTTATACTGCATGCAAGCTTTTCTTATATTTACTTTTACCAATACTACAGGTCTAATTTAAATAAAAACATCTAAATATTAAACCCTTATGTTCTGTTCATACTGTGTTTCTAAATTTTAAAACAATTGTTTACTCATTAATTCAGGTTGAAGGGGACATTTTTTTCAGTCATAACAATGCCAAAAAGTGTCCCACTTTACCTGAATTCAACCTATTTTTGTATTATTGTTAACTAAAGTAAAACTAAAACCATAAAAACATTTCTGTTACTTGAGAAAAAAAAAAAATTATATATATTAGTGCTGTCAAACGCACATACAAAATAAAAGTTTTTGTTTGCATAATATATGTGTGTGTGTTCTGTGTATATTTATTATGTACATATTAGTACACACACATACAGTATATATATATATTGAACATATTTACATGTTTATGTTTATAATCTTAAAATTTATATTATAAATAAATATATTTAATATATAAACATAACATATATATTTCTGAAATATATACATGCATGTGTGTGTATTTATTTATACATAATAAATATAAACAGCATACATACATACATAAACAAATTGGATGCGATTAATGGCGATTAATCGTTTGACAGCACTAATATATATACAAATTCAGCTAATTGCCAAGACAACATCAAGTTTGTTTAACTTGAGGTACTAAAATAACCAAAACTAAATAGACTAAAATAAATCAAAATGAATAAAAACAATATATAGACATTTAAAAAAAAAAAACTATTAAATATGACAAAACAAAACATACATAATATATTATATATTATTTAATAAAATGAATAGGGAGGGGATGAAAAAGGTGAAGATTATATATATATAAACAATACATAAACTCTCTCTTTCTCTCTCTCTCTCTCTATATATATATATATATATATTGATATTAAGGTTTGATATTATTAAAGCAAACACTTTTGTGGAAAAAAAAAAAAAAAAGATTTTCTGAAAATTTTTCTAATGATTTGAAATATACCTGGGCTCTTGAAAGTCCAAATAGTGAGGTACATTTTGTCATGCAGGAAGTTTGATGGATGTTATCAAGCTCAAAATTTGCCATTTCTCATTAGATTAGGAAACGTCATGAAGCGTTAACCTGATACTTCAATGTTAATGTTTTGCGAGATATTAAAACGGCCTTGGGGTCTCTCAGACCCCAAACATGAGGCCTGAAAGCCATTTCTGCTCAAAACTCTACAGCATTCTTTGGTTCTGCGCCTGATGGCCTATTTCCTCGTGGCCGTGAGAGATAGCTGTGATCTCGACCCTGCCGGCTCTTCATCCCCACCCTGTAAAGCCTACTCATTCCACTGCAGGCTACGCCACAGAGAACAATAGCACCGACCATTTCAGACACAACGCTCTTTTACAATTACCACAAGAAAAGGAGTTGTTTTCTTACCCACACCCCTCCCTCAGCCTCTCTTCTTTCTCTCTCTCTTTATTCCCTATGTTCCTTTCTTTAGCCCATACTGGTGCTGACAACATGGATACAGAGACCTCAGGCCTTCGGGCTCTTGCTAATTCAAAGAAAAACAAGCTGTGCTTCTTTCCCAGGTCTGCAGTGAATGCTGGGTATGTTTTAACAGGGCTTCTTCTGTGACTCACTGTTGGGAAAGAGAATGTAAAAGCAACAGCCCACAGAAGAGTGAATTTTGTCTTTAGGCCATATCCATATGGACAAATGAAGCTAGATGCGCTACACTGTTTTCAAGTGTAAACTCTTCTAGAAGAACAAAAATGTTGTCAATTAGGTCAATAAGTTGAGTCTAATGAATTCACAAACGTAACAGACATCTGGGAGGAGATCAAATGTATCCCGTCACCTCTCACAGGAGGTGCTGCTGCATCTGACAACATGCATCATTCGCTTATGTACAGCTTCATCTGAAAATATTCAGTGGTTCTTTACAGCATCTTAGGCTCTGGATGAAAAAGAAAGGGTAATAAGTGTGAAAGTTTATAGGCCTCAAACCCAACAGTGACCAGCTCATGTAGTCATTGAGTTTTCCCACTCTTGCAAGTCAGGGCACGTAAAGTGTGTTGATGGGTAAAGTGTGAAAAGTTAAGTATAATGGGATGTAATGAAGTGCAGTTACATATTTAATGTTCTGTTATCAAACGGCCACGCACAGTAGAGAAAAGCTAGCCACGAGCCTGAGGCGCAAATGACTAGTCTCACCCTAATTAATCCCATTGACACAAATACCTTTACCCATCTGATTTTTCACTGAGGCGGGCATAATACTTCACCAACTTATGTGCTGATATTGAAGAAAACTCTCTCAGCTATGTGCATGAAGTCAGAAATTATATTTCACACTATTTTGAATCCAACTTTAAATTTCACCTTAGACTTTATGGTTCTGTTTTATTCTATTTTTTTATGTTATTATTTGTTCTTTTATTTTATTTGGCTATAAATGTGCTTGGCTAATGTGGAAAGTTTTGTATCAAAATGCAAAGAATTGCCAAGATGTCTTTGCCAGCAAACAGGTTAAGTTGTTTGAAGCCTTGGAAAATGATAATTGAAGAATTCAACAAGCATCCAGGGATATTTGAGACATAAAGCTTAAGATAATTCCAAACACATGGAAATTGAATAAACCTGCTGTGAGGTTCTGTCTGGGTCCTTTAATAGCGTAAGGCTATTGACGTGATGCTAAAAGAAGAACTAAATGAAAGTTCTGACCTGCTGAAGAGACACTGGGTATGTGCACGTTACCTTGAAGTCGTCAGGAAGAAGCAGTTTGATGGTTCTCAGGTAGCTCAGGATATAGCGGAATATCTCTCCATCTCTGTCGATAAAATAATGCTGCTTCAGACTGTCCAAAACAATCGGTTCTATGCCGTTGAACAGGCGACTGATTCTGGAGGGAAAAAATGTAAATCAATGATTTTTCATTTTAAAAAAGCATTTTGTTTTAAAAGTTCTATGCAAGCACTACACTACATTAAGAATGATTTTGCTCATATCATGTCACATTGTAAAAGATATTCTCTAAAAACTGCTTTCTCTTCACATTTTACATTTGAAATAAGTTTAACGGCAAACGTATAAGTTGATTATTTAACCTGATTTAATTGCTGAAATGGGGTCAGGCATTTGGAATTATGTCGTATGCTATTTCTGTTCTTTGGATAAATCGACTTGATCTTTGCAAAATGTTCTTATTTCATTCTCTCATCCTATTTCATTCTTCCGTTCTTTCTTTCTCTCTCTCATTCTGGAAACCGATGCAAAACATTTAATAAGAAAACCAATTCCCCCTTTTGTGCCTCGGGTGGTCCTTTTCTCATATGGTCTTGCCGTTCCCCCAGTTAGAATTTCACCATATAGCTTTAGGCAATCTTAGTTTTTCATCTCAGCCTCTCTTTTTTTTCCCCTCCAAAAAGCAATTAAAATGCTGCCTGCTTTTCCCCCTCCCCCCATTTTCCTCTCCTCCCTCCTTCCCGTTGCTCTCTCGCTCCATATCCATTAATAAATCAGAGCGAGCCACGTTCTCTGTTAACCTGAACAGATGTGGCAAAGCTCTCACTTTTTTCCCATCTTGCACACACACACATGTACGTCTCTAACCTCCGTAGATAACGGTTGGGATGGATGCAGCAGGTAGGAATTGCATGACTCTACAAGTGGCTTTTGATCACAAAAAAACAGAGCTTTAAGTCATTTAAAAGTAGAGCATTTGAATGTATCGCCCTATTTATATGTAAATTCATTAGTTTAACACTTAAATATGCACTTACATAACTGTTACAAAGGCAAAAATTATGAACTTCTCACGACAGCTCAACACGACTATGACACATAGTTTTACGGCAACATAAGTCATAGTAAACCCCAAAAACGGTCAGCGTCAAATCACAACTGGTCTTACCTGGAGTCTGGGTATTTGGTGAGGGTGGCCAGACTGCTGGTGTACATGTGCCCGCCTACGTCAATGTGGACTGGAGCGTTTGCTTTAGTCAGCTGAGCCGGCAGTGGGATGCCCTGAGCGGCCAGAGGAGACACTGGGGACCGGGTCAAAGACAGCCGAGACATGCTCCTTCCCTCCTGCACAAACAGCACAGTATCAAATAAACAGCTTCTGGTTCCCCTCTCCCCTTCAATCTCCGAGATCTAAGGTGCGATTCTGGCCTGCAAGCACGCAGGAGATCACTTTTACATCTTCCCTTAAATTGCGTTTTTACCTTAAGAATTAGCACCCAAGTCTAATTAAGAAAATTTGCCTGCCGTTTTTTTCCTCTCCTTTTTTCATAGAACCGGAGGGGAGAAATGGAGTGATGCTTATTAGCGAGCACGAAAGGGAGAGAGGGAGAGAGGGAGAGAGGGAGAGAAAGAGAGCGAGAGAGAGAGGGATGGATCCTAGTACTGTAGGTGTCTACCTCCAGGGAAAGAGAGGGAAAAAGTGTAAACTCCTAATTAAAAATATTGGGCGAATGTGTGAGACGCAAAACACCTCTTCACCAACAGCTTTTCAGTTCTTCAAAAGTTTCTGAGAGCAAATGAATCGACATTTTGAATTGAAGCCAAAAATGAGAGTAAATAAGACTTTTACTCCCACAAGGTCAAATATCAAAATCTAAATGATGCTGCGTCATAATAAAGTTTTAATTCGTGGTAAAGGTTCTAAATGATGCTTCATTCAAATATTTGATCTCATTGTCCTCTCCTTAATAATTACAGCTCTTTACATTAAAACCATAGGGACTATGATGCTTGACTGCTATTGTGGCATGAATCGACTTGTTTGGACTTTGGAGTAACGAACAATTCTGTCTAAACAGATGGTTAAAGTCCCATTTCCAGAGGCACAATGCCTGAAGCAATGTGTGCCCAATGGTGTACATCAGAGACTACTCCTGTATAGGATGATGAATCTTATGTCTAGCCGTTAGATTTAAAATCAAATCTCACAAATTTAACTGGTCACTGGTTTGGCTATAGTAAAGTTTTAAAATATGTTGTAAAAGACAAAAAAAAACTGAAATATTATGAGGAGTATATATATATATATATACACATAGGATTTGGGGCCTGGGTAGAACTGCCCCACTTTTCACAATATTAAAAAAATCAATCAGTGCGCCACGGCTAAATAAATAATATTTTACCGGAGTTGTGAGTGTTCATTCGTCTGAATTGCATTTGATGACATTAAAATACCGAGTTCCGAGAAATAATGACAAGAAATCATATATTTCTTGTAAAATCCGAAAAGCAAACGTACAATTATACTAGCAGCCCAGTCACATAACGAACAAGTGACTCGTATGAGCCGGTTCTTTTAATGAATCACTCAAAAAGACTCATAACTTAAAATCAGCCTGACGATCCTTCACTGAATGAACAATGAATCCGTCAAAGCGGTTTGAATCAACATCTCACTCAGTTAGTAAGTGCACGTTATCATTAGTTTGAGTGATGTCCGTCTCGAAATTGCCCTGTTATATATATATATATTAGTTGTACTAGGTCGGAAGCGACAGAGGTTTAGAGTGCAAAATGAGATATAATCAAAGAGTACATCAAACATCAAAGTCAGAAATAATAGTTTGTGTTGTCAAAAACTGCGCCAGGTCCCTGGAGTGCGTGAAATAGCCCTACAACTCTCTGTACCGCACTTCCTGTACGCAATGGGCATACAGTAGCGCTCTGACCTCTCGTTGTATGCTCAAATCAGCCCTCCCTGATCTAAAACTGCAAAAGCACGACACACACTGAGAACGAATGCAAAGATGCGCTAGAGAAACATTCGAGAATTTGACAGAATCCACCGTACCGTTTCAAACATTTTAGGATGTCCGACGCAATCTGTGGAGGATTCTAGCAGACTGTCTCTGGTGAAGGTTGCTCGTCCTTTAGAAAGAACTTTTTCGTGATATTTTCTCGGCACTCCAAGAGCTCTTCGTACAGAATCCGGCGACAATTCCCTTCAGAATCCAGCGAAATCTAACGCCGGTGCAAACGCAGCGCTATATAGGTCGCTGTGGCTTTAAAGGCTCGCTTAAAACACAGACCATAGACTGCTATTGACACTTTCCACAAAAGCTACACAGAGGAGTCAGTCGAGGCTGCGTCCTTACCTTGGAAGACATAGCTGTAAATGTATCTTCAGCCCTCTTTAAAACATGAGATCGATCGTGGCGTGTCTTAGCCTCGCGTTTTTTTCTTTCTTGCTCCTTTTTTGTTGAAGCGTGAGAGTGCGTTGAAGGCACAGCGTTCCAGCCCGAATAACAGGACAGCTGAACAAGAATTCTTGCTCAAGGCTCTCCAAACGCCCCGGGGCAGGATTAGGCTACAATTAGCTCAACCCTGCCTGAGCTGGGGCGAGTTACAAGAACACCATTTGATCTTGCTATTCACATTTGGAAGTATGCGTATATATGCGTTTAATCGCATTTATCGTCATTTATTCATCTACTTGCCGCGTCTGAACAACATGTACGGGGAAAACGGTTTACTAGGTCACCTGTGTGCATGTCTGATAAACCTTCATCGAGCAAAAGAGAAACAATCTTTTGTTTTAAACGGCATTACATACGCTATGACCCCCCCGTCTTTTTATTTACATTTCTTTTCCAGAGATTCTTACGGGCATAAAAGAATATATCGTCTTACTTTGGTTTAATGTTTCTCACAGCGTTCTTATAATGTTCTGCTGGCCATGAAAACTAAATGAGACGTATGTCGATATGCTCTGTGCCTCTGCAAAAGGCGCCCACACAACCGCCTCGAGCCAAACGCGCCATTTCAATGTTTCGCGCGCGGCTAGATAGAGATGTCTGCCATGGCACACAGCTTTCAGGTGGAAGACAGGCTCATTGTGCTGAAAACATTGTTACAAAAAGGATACTTGACAGTTTTAAGACCACTGTAATATTGTTCCCATTCTCGTTCAAATGTTCTGTACCTTGACATCTGGCGCCAACCAGTGACCAAACTAAACGCAGCCAATAAAAAAGAACGTTTTTACAACATTTCCAAAACGTTTCCTTTTAGTTGCAATTAGGTGACAGCATGAAAACGCCACCTAAAACAGGACACAAATAAAGTAGGCCTACCTGAAATAAAACGTAGGCCTATTAGTAACGGTCTGAAAAGCTAAGGGTAAGGGGACTTCAAACTTCAGTATAACGTCAGACGTCAATATAACCCATGTTTACGACCAAAACTAAACACACCAAACGCTGACGACGCGTTGGGCACTTGTACATTTAAACGAAAGGTTAAAAAATGGTCCATGACCTAAAAACGCGTTTAAACACAGTTGTACTTGCTGGGAAGTCAAACAACCTACGAACAGAGAACAAATTATGAATTCAGATTTCCATAAATAAATAACTAACTAGCAATATATTTCATTTCAGTTTTTAGTTGTGCAAAGGGGAAAAAATGATAGAACCCTTAATTTTCTTGTCACAAATTTGAATTTTAAAATGTATTTTCCAATTACCTTCAGTAATCTTTTGGCACAGAGCTAATGTTATCACCGTCCACATAAAAGCCCACATTCTGGAGTGAAAACACTGCAAAGCAAATCTGTTTGTATACTCGAATATGTTGCAAATTATTTGGACTTAACAACCGAATTTTTCTCGCCTTTGGCTGAAATTAGTTTCCCACATCAGAGAAAGACAAGACATTTTTGTCCAATTAAAGGAACAAGCCCGGAGTTAGTTCAATTACTTGACGCTGGAGGAAGATGTAAATTTAAAGATTTAAATAGCTTAGAATGTTGCCTCGAGCGCCTGCACTTCATTTCCTTAATTTACAGAGAGATGAGGGGAGTAATGGTTATCCCAATGATGTGCATCATGCCAACAAACTATAATATCTGAGTTACACTTACTATCCCTGGTCTTGCAGTTGTGTTTATATTCAATATAACAGCCTGAAGACAGAGAAACAAAAGCGTCCTGGTAAATCAATAGCAGCTAAAACTTTCACAATTCACATGAACTAATTTCGTATCAGTGATCCATAGGACTTTATTAACATTAATATTAACATTGTTATAATATCGCATAACCACTAATAGTATTTAAATTATAGTGTTAAAATTTAAATCATATTATTTAAATTATGTAACCGCTTATTTTTTAAGTGTATGTATTTCTAGTACGATGAATTATTACACATTTGGAGGCATGAGCCACTGTTTTGCCAAGAGACAGATGTAATACCTGTGCAACATTCATGAATGCATAAATAAATCTACATAGCCTATTCCCTTTTGAAAGTTATTTTCCGATGATGCCTGTGTCCCTTATTAAACCACGGCGCCATCTGCTGGACATGACTTGCAACGTCAAACATCTCATCTTCTCACCTGAAACAACTTGAAACATTTTTGATGCTGTTGCATTTTGACTACACTTCTTTTGGTAATTAGATTTTCCAGAGTCTTTTTGTAATAACTTAATTTCTAAAAGTTCAGAGCTTTTTCTCTTGCCTCCAGCTCCTTCCATTCCAAAACCCAATCATACGGAGAGACTAATTTTTCTCTTACCCCCTCCTTTTTAAATGTGATTTTTGTGCTGAAGAAAGAAAAATGCGGATTTTTTTTTTGTTCTGTCTTCCACGTGACAAATGGTAGCTGATTTGATGTGGCCTTTGAGTCTGTAGATTGTGAGAGAGAACAGGATGTCAAAGCCCCAGGCCCTGTGAGATAAGGAGGGGGTAACGAGGGGGTGGAGCTAAAAAACCCGCAGTTGCTCCAGGCAGCAGAGGACTTATTGGAGTGGGAGGACAAGATGTAAAGATCAACAGCAGTTTTGACTGCTGCATGAGGGGGGTTGCTGCTTTTGTTTCCAATACTGGGATAAAGTGGCAGAAAAATAATATATATACATGATTGAAATCATTTTAAAATCTTTATGTAACTGCATATTATCTTGATGCCTCCGACAGGAAAAAAAATCCTCAGGTCATTTTCAGAAGTAACTATTCCTGTGCATCCTGTAGTAATAGGTTGCATCACTTCTACTTTTATTTTTAAAGTACGAGCGGGGGCGGCCATTTTTATTTTGAATGGATGAGGCTTCCGGTATCATCCACTTCTAACTATTTAACGGTGCAAAAACAGTCCGCTATGCTACTTGATTTTGAAAGTTTATATTTGTTATCATATTATTTTTAATGTACTATAATAATCACGAACACACTGGTTTGTCACGTAAAGAGCTTTACCGTTTACTGCACTTTGTCATTCTTCTGGTTACTTATCAATAATGAATCTAAAGAATTGCACATTCACAGGAAGTAGCTTACCTCCACAATGAAAAATAAGTTGGATAACAAACAAAAAATATGGAACTAACCTTCAAACAAAGGGCGAAAGAGGTTGTTATGAGTGTCCTGTACATGTCTATAGTGACCGAGTCCTAGAAATGACTGGAATTTTGATTTGTCATTATAACAATAAAGAAGGTAATAACAGAGATGTCATCTAACTAACATTAAAATATTGTGCTTACATTTATTGATATACAGAAAACGTTGTAATATGAGAAATTTGAAAGTAAGGCAAGGGTGTAGCAGGTCATTGAAAATGTTTCGCAATGGTACAGGGTTGCCAACTTCAGAAAATGAAAATACAGGACAATCACCATACGGATTGGGGAGGGGGGGGATTGTCGGATGAGTGACCGTGTAGGCTATACATACACACACACACACATATGTATGCATGTAAATGCGTATTTTTCAATTAAAGACAGCTTATAGATTTAATATGGGCTGCTTTTGGTGCTTGACACCTTTTTATTGGTAAATTTGTGTTTCAAGAATAAGGTCCAAGGTTAATAATTATGCTATTAGTTACTTAAATATAAAATGTTTTTCTCTATTTAACAACATTACAATAGTGAAAGACGACTTCCCTTACTGATCACGTCTCTTGCGCGGCGGGATGTTGGACTCGTGAAAAATAATCACGTAGTTTGTATTCACCAAAACTGATTTACTAAAGTGAAAACCCGGACAGAATTGGTGTTAGTGTGAGCGCCGCTTGCTGTGAGGCGGGAGCGACCAGCCGGCAGAAGATTGTGCAGCCTTCCTCGAACAGTTATGTTCACGATTTCTGATTTACTTAACGTATACTGCGTGAGGGGGGCTGTGATTGGATGATGACAGGTATCGGTGATCATTCTCAAGTGATCAGCACCGCTGCTGTTGTATCAGTCAGTGGTTAGATCAGCGTAGCAGTCAAAAAACAGGACAAGGGAAGTCACATACGGGACAAATCAATTAGGCCCAAAATATGGGACGTCCCGGCTAATACGGGACGGTTGGCAACCCTACAATGGTATATTGAGTAAAGTGATACTTACAGCTGGACTTGAATCACTTTCCTTTGACACTAATAAATACCATTATGCTACATTTTAGACGCTCTTAGTACAGACTATTCATTCTTGGCAGTCTGAGAAAACAAATCACACACAACAAAGGGACAGTTCACCCAAAAATTAAAATTCTGACACCATTTACTCACCTTCATGTCATTCCAAACCTGTGGAACACAAAAGAAGATATTCTGAAAAATGTCTTTTGTTTTTGTCCATCGTTGTTTTGGACCCTATTGACTTTCATTGCATTTACAAAAACAGCTGCAACATTCTTCAAAATATTTTGTTATTTGTTCACTTCACGCAGGTTTGGAACGACATGAAGAGTGAGTAAATCATGTCCAATTTTAAATTTTGGGGCAGATTGTTCCATTAAGGGGTTTCTTACTGAATAGAATTGAATAAGTTTTGTAAATAAGATAAACGCAAGGACCAGCCTGCAGAGATAAATATAGAGTGTGATTAATATTTCACATTGAAATTCGTTAACAAATAAACAAAAACATTTTAAAGTAATAAAATAACCTCACTAGGACAAAATGTGAACACCAGGCCCACAGAAAGTTCATAAGATTACTGTAAAAGCTTCAGTGTAAATCTTTAAATGGTTTGGAGTAGTTGAACATCAGATAGTCCATATAGTAAAAGTCATACGTCCTTTGTCTCTCTGTCACGTTTAGTTGTGCAAAATATCTTTTTGTAATTTCCAAAGATGTCCTTTCTGCATTAGGGTTCCTGTCTTTAAAACTAGGGAATGTTAAATTGCTAGGAGCACCGATGCTTCTCAAAAGGAAATTGGCTTCTTCCTCCAGAGTCTCAAATTTCCCAATGAAATCATAGTCCAGCAGGCAAGGGCTGCAAAGATGTCCTACAGGCTCCCAGTGGATGTCCATGCCAACCGGCCGATGCACATCTAACAAATACTGGATGAATTCCTTGAAGGTCACACCTGCTCCCGTGCGTAAAGCGTACTGTGTTGCATTGCTGCGGTATTTTGAGATGATGGGCTTCCCAAACACTGGGTGGTAGTACGAGTTTGGACTCTCAAACTTGTCCCGAAAAGCAGACACTAGCCTTTCGAAAGGTTCCCTCAGGAAGAGGACTTTGGTGTAGGTCTTCAGATGATGAATGATGTCCTTTTGATCAAATGAGTCTAGACGCTTAAGGTGATTCCCATAATGCACCTCGTCATGTTGGATCTCTCCAGTGGAAGAAGCGAGACCTTGAAGCACCATGAGCACCCTCTTCCAGTTGGAGCAACCCGCCTTGGGCACCTCACAGTAGAGGAGTTTGTGCTTGTCCTCCACAAAGATACGGGACACATGTATGCGGGTTATAGTCTGTTTGGTGGTTCCGCTTGTGTATTTGGCACAGACCTCCCTCATAAGTCTCTGACGGGACTGCTGCACCTGAGTCATTTGCTCTGGGTTCTCTTTGATCTGGCCAGGAGGGTCAGCATTAAGCTGCTGGACAAGCGGGCCACTCTTGAGGAGGAGTTTACGGTGGCTCTTTGTGACATGGGCAGCAGTGATGTATCTGGGGTTGATTAGAGAAGAATGCTGGACCCATGGGAAGACTGGAAGCTGCACTGGTTGCGCAGGTCTAGGAAAGTTGTCTGAATGATGTCCTTTTGATCAAATGAGTCTAGACGCTTAAGGTGATTCCCATAATGGACCTCGTCATGTTGGATCTCTCCAGTGGAAGAAGCGAGACCTTGAAGCACCATGAGCACCCTCTTCCAGTTGGAGCAACCCGCCTTGGGCACCTCACAGTAGAGGAGTTTGTGCTTGTCCTCCACAAAGATACGGGACACATGTATGCGGGTTATAGTCTGTTTGGTGGTTCCGCTTGTGTATTTGGCACAGACCTCCCTCATAAGTCTCTGACGGGACTGCTGCACCTGAGTCATTTGCTCTGGGTTCTCTTTGATCTGGCCAGGAGGGTCAGCATTAAGCTGCTGGACAAGCGGGCCACTCTTGAGGAGGAGTTTACGGTGGCTCTTTGTGACATGGGCAGCAGTGATGTATCTGGGGTTGATTAGAGAAGAATGCTGGACCCATGGGGAGACTGGAAGCTGCACTGGTTGCGCAGGTCTAGGAAAGTTGTCTTCTGCTAGATCAGACTGTTTGTCATTGTCAGGACAATAAGGACATGGTTGCTGCAATTTAGAGAATAAGAGTAGTCAGCATCAATAATAGTGTCTTTTCAAATTTAGGCACAGCCTTGTGAAAAAGCAGTGCGCATAATTGCACTGAAAGTGCATTTGCAGTGTACTTCAAATCCTAAAAGTTAAAAAATATATATATTAATTAAACAAAAGGCCACTTAAGTTTATTTAGAGCGTACATTTTCATCACTATGTTTCTTACACTTAAGTGCATTTTTAAAAAGTACACTTTGTAATAACCTTTACTTTAAAAAACATTTTAAATAATTGATTTAATAATCATTTTCATGCTTTAAAGGAGTACACTAATTACGATGTTAAAACATATTAAAGCACATGCAAAGTACTTGATTATAATTTTTTAATTCAACTTCATTGCAAATGTGTAAATACATGACAAGTATCAATAGAAATTACATTAAAGTATATTTTAGTTAAAAATAAATTCTTTAAAGAACTCTCGAGTTGATCTAATTGCATTTAATATATATTTAAACTATAGTACATTATCTTTCGATTTCAATTAACACAATTAAGCGTTCAAAAACATTACATTAAGTTCACAATTAGTTATATTATTTTAAAGTATTAATTACTCCCATAGTAAGTACTCTTTTTAAAATACTAAAGTTTGCTTCTTTTTCACAAGGGTATTTATGTAACAGGTTGATTTTTATTAAGACTAACTTTTTTACTTTTGTTATATGAATTTCCTATTTAAACCGATTTGGATTATTTTTTTGTTTATTTATTTGCTACTTTTCAAATAGTTTTTAGTTTTGCCTTTGTACCAGACCCAGACATTATTTTAAAAGTATTTAGTAAGTATCATATCACTTTAAATAAAAATTTCAGCCGACCCACAGTTGTTTGCAAAAAGTGTGAAAATATTATTTAATTGTGTGTATTTAGGATACCAACTGATGAAATTACCATTTTATTTCAAAGTAAAAAATGTCATTTCCACACAATGTTTTGTCAAATACACAATATGATGTGTGGAGGGAATTTGTTTAACTTTCATTCAGAATTCTCTACTGGATACTTTTAGAAGACAAATTAAAGGCACAATATGTAAGATTTTCGTAATAAAATATCCAAAAACCACTTGCTCAGTGTTATATATTTCATGCAGTTGTGTACCTATATTATCCCAAAAGTTCCCAAGGATTTGTAAATCCAGAGAAATTCCTATTTTAAATAATGGCTCGTCCCTGTTCATTGTCGCCTATCAATGGCATAATATCCACGCTATCGGTTTCTGCTTGTAGAAACTATGGCAACACACGTGGACAAAAATGCTGTAGTACTGTTAAACTAAATCCATTACTGCTGTCGCGAATAAAATGAAAATGAAAAGTGTTGACTGCAGCATTAAATTTTGATCTGCTCAATGTTGCACCATGATTCTTTTTTTACGCGATTTTACAGTGTTGTGCATTACAACCAATCACACACGATTCTGTTGAGCTAATGAATGCAATGGCTAATCAGAGGCGTTCAGATGAGTCATCGCTGAAACACCAGTTGTTTTGTTCATTGTGCGTGCTCGCTGACTGAATTCTGATCTCTCGCGAATTCCCTCATCATAAACAACAAACTGCAGATGTACGTATGATGCAAGTAGGAGATTCATTCATACCGATTTGGATTATTTATTTGTTTATTTATTTGCTACTTTTCAAATAGTTTTTAGTTTTGCCTTTGTACCAGACCCAGACATTATTTTAAAAGTATTTAGTAAGTATCATATCACTTTAAATTTCAGCCGACCCACAGTTGTTTGCAAAAAGTGTGAAAATATTATTTAATTGTGTGTATTTAGGATACCAACTGATGAAATTACCATTTTATTTCAAAGTAAAAAATGTCATTTCCACACAATGTTTTGTCAAATACACAATATGATGTGTGGAGGGAATTTGTTTAACTTTCATTCAGAATTCTCTACTGGATACTTTTAGAAGACAAATTAAAGGCACAATATGTAAGATTTTCGTAATAAAATATCCAAAAACCACTTGCTCAGTGTTATATATTTCATGCAGTTGTGTACCTATATTATCCCAAAAGTTCCCAAGGATTTGTAAATCCAGAGAAATTCCTATTTTAAATAATGGCTCGTCCCTGTTCATTGTCGCCTATCAATGGCATAATATCCACGCTATCGGTTTCTGCTTGTAGAAACTATGGCAACACACGTGGACAAAAATGCTGTAGTACTGTTAAACTAAATCCATTACTGCTGTCGCGAATAAAATGAAAATGAAAAGTGTTGACTGCAGCATTAAATTTTGATCTGCTCAATGTTGCACCATGATTCTTTTTTTACGCGATTTTACAGTGTTGTGCATTACAACCAATCACACACGATTCTGTTGAGCTAATGAATGCAATGGCTAATCAGAGGCGTTCAGATGAGTCATCGCTGAAACACCAGTTGTTTTGTTCATTGTGCGTGCTCGCTGACTGAATTCTGATCTCTCGCGAATTCCCTCATCATAAACAACAAACTGCAGATGTACGTATGATGCAAGTAGGAGATTCATTCATCAAACAGTGTATAGAGAGCTTTACTGATTATAATGGGAGTTTTTTGAGAGTGCTTAAACTTGTGCTAGACTGAAGTCAGTCATACTGTTCCTTGACAATGTAAATATTCTTTGCTTGCTTTCTCTGTATAATTTATTTGCTGTTTGAATATGGAAGGTACAGGTAATAAAACAATTAATTCATTACATCCATGAACATGATTCGGACATCTCTGGATGGTGAAAAAGACATCTCCCATCGTTTCCCTCTCCTTCATAGCATCATCAATCTTCGCCTTTGTTATTGTTTTGAAAATGTGACTAAAATTAGTGGCGAAAACTTACATATTGTGCCTTTACAAAAGGCAAATCATTGTTAATTAAATAAACTAGTGAGACTGTGAAAAGTGTATTTTAAGAGTTTAGTTTCTAAAAGTCCACAGGGCTAAAATATGTAAAGTACAGGCCATGTTTAAAAAAATGTCAACACAGGAAATAACTATTTTATTGGTTCTATAAATAGAAGGGAAGGTTGGGGTTTTAAAGTCTTGTCTCTCCAATGTCAGCCACCAAGTGGTGCCAATGCACAATAATTCCAGCGGCCGTAGCACATGATGTGAAGCAGGTTTTTGAAGCAAAACCCTGTGATCGTTCAGATGAATAGGCTTACCTTTCTTATGGCCTGTACTTGGGAGAATATGACCTTTGCACCTGAGGGAAAAGAAAGAGAGGGATCGTTAGGATGACATTTCAATCTGATACATTTTTACAACCCAAGTACCATGAAAGTGAACTTCTGGGTTCAGGAATTTTCAGTGAGCTGCTTACATTCAAAACGCAACCAACAAGAAGTTATACTGAAAGCCTCAGTCCACCCTAATGTTCTGAAATAAAGGAGCATATGGCTCAGTGAAGTGGTGTCCTTGCTTGTGTTTAGTTTAGAGAAAGGGCGGGTGGACGGAGGGAGGTTGACTCCTGTGGTCGATTGCTAATGTTTATGTGCCACTGCTTGCAGCAGCTCCAGATGGTCTCCCAGCAGCCTGACAAACATCATCTTGACATCAAAGGTTATTGTGAATGAACAGAAGTGTGTGTCCAAAGATATTCAGAAACATATTCGTTAGTATTCACTATGGGAAAAGTCTGAAGTCCAAAGTATATGCCTTCTTAATGGGGAATGAGATTGGAAGATGGCCTGAGTCATACTGAATCAGACTTTGCAGCTCTGGCAGAGACGTCTCAATGCTTTGACACTGATCGATTAGATGCCAAAGCCATGCATGATACTTTTGGTTGATAGATTCATTGCAGGCACTGCTCTGACATGGGTTTGAGAGCTAGAGCAGGTTATTTACAGGCTAGGAGAAGAGTTTGAGGAGATGCCTGTGTTTGAGGAGATGCCATGTTTGTTTGTTTTTTCCCCCAGCAAGGTTTTTTTCTACTGTAATCTGTTCCTACATAAAATAAAAAAAATAAACAATCTCAAGAACCATTTCCCACTATAAAGAAACTTTTATGCAATGGAAATGTTGTGGATGTTAAAGGTTCTTCATGGAACCATCAGTGGAACCTTTATTTTTAAGAGTGTATTTACTTTCTTAAAGGGGTGGTTCATTGCGATTTCACTTTTTTAACGTTAGTGTCTAATGTTGCTGTTTGAGCATAAACAATATCTGCAAAGTTACGAATTTCAAGGCAAACGGAGATATCGTCTTTTAAAATTCTGGCAGTTTAATGCCTACAAAAACAGCTGGTAGGGACTACAACGAATTACTTCCCGGGGTCGTGATGTAACAAACCCAGATAAACCCCGCCCTCGGGAAAAGGCAGCAAAGGGGGCGAAGCCATGCTGCGCTGCTTTAGAGAAGAGGAAGTATATAAACTTCCTCTTCTCTATATCTCTCTATATACATATATTTATATAGTATATAAACTAGAGGTGCACGTAAAAATCTATTCATATATGAATTGTGATTCTGTCTTCTAACTATTCTAATGGATTCACAATGGATTCACATCCTCGTGTTCCCTGCTCTGCATCTCTCTCTTTCTCTCTCTCTCTCACACACACACATTCAGCTCAGCTCCAACAATGAACTGTTCCAATTATACACTTATTTTCACATAGCTATGAGAACCGTTAAACATGGACGCGTTTGCAGTTGCCGTAATGTAGAAGCTTTAATCAGGATAAAACCGTATATTAAAAGCAGTATAAGCAGTAGCATTTACAAATAACAGCGTATCTAAAAGTATGAGACAACAACAAACAAAAAACATAGGCCTACCATTACAAACCATGCTTGCACAGGTTCTGCACGATCCTCTTCAATAATATCCTCTGCTTCTCAATCGAGCTCAAACTGATAAGCGGTATTAACGACGCTGTTGTTTACAATACAACCGGAGCACATGCCACTGGGGTGAGGGGCGGGACGCTTAGACGCACTAGAGGCGGTTTAGTCAATCACAACACACTGGGCTAGCTAACCAATCAGAGTCCATCGCCTATTTCTGAGGGAGGGGCTTCATAAAAGAAGGAAATTATCAGCCCGTATCTCAGAGAAGGGACAGAGCGGTGTGGAATAAAGGTAAATTATGTGAAAAATAATACGTTTTTTTTTTTAAAACGAAGCATTAACACATGTTAGACTGCACCCCATAAACACAATCAAGCCTAGAAAAAAATCAGTGAACCACCCCTTTAATGCATGTCTTATTGTGAATGAGTCATTGGTGCATGTTATTACAATGAAAAAAAAGGTTATTTAGCACATAGAAAAACAGTTAAAAACAACATTTAAAAAACTGCATTCTCTCAACAAGCCGTTATTCTTTTACAAATACTACAACAAAATATTCGAAAATATTTCAATACATTCAGATATTCTCAAAATTAACCTATTTCCTGGGTGGCTTATGAAAATGCATTATTTCAAATTTGTTATGCAAATTTGTTATTTTTTTCTCATTTCTGTTCATATTTTTATTTTAAATGTAAATTATATAAAGACTTCCCAATTGTTAATTTCTTTGAAAAGTCATATATAGCTCTGTTAAATAGATGTTTGGAATTTCTGTTGAGTGCAGAGATCTCATTTAACTAAAAAGCTTATTATTCCTCAGTATTGCTCATTTACAAATGAAATTGCTACAATTCAGAGGTCTCAGAGTTCTGTTGTAAAGTTATAAAATGAATATCAAGCAGCACAGTATGAAAGATAAGATGAAAAGATACTATAATCTCGCACGGATACACAGACTTGTGCGTTGACCCAACTGCAAGCAATTCTCTTCACGCTCTATGGGTCTGCAAGATCGCTCACTTGAGTGGGAGGAGGTGAGACAGGGAGGAAAGGCGAAGGCAGGAGATATTGTGTGAAAGATAACAGACGATCCCTGTAAACAGCTAATGTCTTTGCCACTATGCGTCTCCCTCCTGCTGCCACTGGCAGATCACTCAGGTCTATTAGATCAGAGTCTCGTCAAAGACGGCCGAGCTAAACAACATGAGGTGAAGCTGCTGCACGGTGGGAGCTGGCAGTAATGGAGCACTGCAGACAGCCTTGCTCCCGATGACTTCACAGCTTATGAATAACTCAAATCCCGGGAAGAGAGCAGAAACATGGAACGAGGGACTCTCACTGGTCCCACCACCGTCTGATCTACTAGAACACTCTAGGACCCGCTTGTCTTTAGTAAAGTTGTTTTTATAAAAGAAACTGAAAAAAAGAGTGTTGAGGGCTATTGTAACACGCTACTTGTAATGTAAACAAATGACTTTTTGGAAGTAATATGTGGAGTGGTATTCTTTCTAGGAAAATCTAAAATGTAGAAATGTTGAAATATTTAGTGTCATTTTCCACTTTCTTGTCAATTAAAATGCTGTTTTCGGTAATTAAAATTAGATGCCATTTTAGTTTTAGTTAGTTTTCCATTTTAATTTAGTTAAAACTAACTAAACAAACTAAAATTACATGGCAAAATATCAAGCATATTTTATTAGAACAAGAAATCTTAAAATTAAAAAAAAAATTATTAGTGTTTGTTTTTTATAAATAATTTTATTGAGTTTTTTATTTCAGTTTATTTTTCAGTAATTTTCAACTAAAACTTATGTTATTTGCAACATTTCTAATTTACATTTACGTTTTTAAATATTTATATATACTGTAGATTACAGTGTATCTTATTTCACCTTCATTTCAATTAATGAAAACAAATTTTAATAGTTAACAATAAAAACTTGTAAAGTTTCATAAAATGTAACATAATTAGTTACTTTTATTAGAAAAAAGTGCTATAATATAACTACTTTTAAAGATAACATTTCCAAACACTAGAAGCAGCTAACCATCATATGAAACAACATTTTGAGTTGTTTTATGCCACATACTATTGATATGTATAAAGATACTCCTTCACTGATGCTTGAGTGCAGCTGTATACATATAGAGTTATACAACAGACATCTGAAGAGGCAGAGAACAACAAAAGCAAGCAGAGTTCCTGTCACATCTAATGCAGGAGCTCTTTGTTTACCGCAGTGCAGCTTTCCACAAAATCAAATCAATATGTCATAAACATGGTAACAGTCACCAGCAGGATGAGATGTTACTTATTTGACAGAGAAGCACGGTTTATGCTCAAATAGCAGCCAAGGGGGTCAAGGTTTGTCTGGTTAGCATGGTCTAGTTAGTCCCTGCAAGTAAACAGTGCACAAAATAAAAACGCAAACAAAATGTCATTTCAATTTCAAACATTTCATCATTATATACCTTACTTTCTAGATACTAATACATTGGACTGTTGTTTAACAGTTGGAGGGCAGCAAGGTATCATGTGTCCAACCACTAAGACCAATAATGAGGCTAAATTTAGTGGTACAGTACATAGCTGTCAACTTCTTCACTTGCACACTGTACGGTATGTGTGAGCTGTGGTGACCTAATATATGTGGTTTCCTAATATTAGTCCTCCTCATTAGACGTAATGCACTGTGAATATCTCCCATCATTTTCACACAACTGATCTGTATGCCTATCTAACCTTGTGACTCCAGCAACAACTAAATCAGGAAGACTTTAGTGTATTGCCATTAATGATGGTAAGCCAAATTGTACATTAGAGATGAGTTAAATTCACGTTGAAATACAAGCTCAACTCGAGGCCATTTGGGATGCTCAGTTTCAACTGTCTATATAAGCAAAGATATGGCAAGAAAACAGCTTCTATCAGGTAACAAGGCAAGATGTGTTTATAAGAATGAAGAAAGGCTGCAGGTATGTGTCTGTGTATGAGTTGACGCTTGCATGTTAAGATGTATTTGCCAGACAGAGAGTGGGCGTATAAAGTGTGTATATGTGTGTTTCTTTCAAACAGCCTTAAAACTCAGAACTGAGGAAGAATTTCACCTTGCTTTGGAAGTATTTGTTGCCTGGCTGCAGAAATATGAATCAAAAAGTTAGTTATTACATAAAAAGGTATCACCTTTAATGTTGCAGGTTCAAAACTTTATACTCTCTATTTCAATATTTATGCTCTTTAACAAAGAAAAATATATTTACTTGTACCTCACAAAAATGTGTTTTCATTAATATATATATATTAATGAAAACACATTTTTGTGAGGTACAAGTCTTTATTTTTGATAAAGCACTAACAGTCAAAAGTTTGTGGTCATTAAGATTTCTTAAAATGTTTTTGAAATGTTTTGAAAATGTTCTTTTATGTTCTATAAAGTATTTTATGCTCACCAAGGCTGCATTTGACAAAAAAAATGCAGAAAAAATCCCAGCAATACTGCGAAATGTTATTACAATTTAAAAAATGTAAAAACCTGCATTGCTTACGAGACATGTCGCCACAGCTGCTCAAGCACGTAGAAAATCACGGACAGCGTACAACTGGCTGAGGGTGGAAATATGCTAATATGGGACAGTCCATCAGTGGTCGTGGGCGGGGCCTGAGCAGTATGACATCATACTACTCAGAAAATGAAAACGGCTTTATAATTGAGACTGTTTAAGTTTTTGGGGATTAAAAAAAAGACTGAATAGATTTTTATCATTGTAGGGTGGTTGTGTTCACACACTGCTAAGACATTAAGAATTTTGCATCTGATGTCCCCTTTAAACAAATTTTAAATGAATTTAATAACAAAATATTTTAAACAAAGAAAAGTTATGATGAAAAATGAAAAAGATACCTAATACTTCCATGAGTTTATTTGTTAATGAAGTGTAATGGATGTCTGTCTGATAAATCTTCAGGCAAGTGTCTGGAACGGACACTTCAAGTTGATTGTTTATGGAACTCTAAAGTGCATAAAGGATCACAACAATGTCTCTCTCTCTTTCTCTCACTATCTGAACAGACCGTGACATTCAATCGGACTGTCCACA